GCATCATTAACAAAAACACTTTGCCTATCAAGTGTGATAAATGCCGAGAGCAACTGCCGCAAACGTTTGCTGCCAAATTGAGCATAATTTTTTGAAGGCTACTTTTGTGTTTGTTATTGCTTCCGCCAACGCCCTTCAAAATGGCACTGGCAATGGTGCAGCGTTCTAAGTCGCTTTGTAAACAGGCCGCAAATTAATTGATTGTACATCATTTATTAGGCACGCGTCGCACCCATCGAACTGTTTTCGCAATGTTGTGTAAACAGAAATATTGCGCATACGCTGCGTGGCCCAGAAACCTACCGAGACGAACCAAAAAAAAAAAGAGCCGGAGTCGGGAACATGAAATCACAACGCAATTGCTATGCAAAATACACGTAAATATAATATACTTTATTTTGTGGTGCTTCATTGCGTTTACCCCACCTCTTGTTCCACCACTCGATTTTCAGTGCGAATGAACGAGCAGAAATGTCAAACGACAAAAGCGAAATTCGCACACATTTTTATGGCCCCTTTGCCCGGAGTCGAGAAGCTTTTCAGTATTTCAAATCTAATTTATGACATTGAATCAATTTCCCAGTGATGCTGCCCGACTGAGTGTGTATGTGTGTGTGTGTGCTTGTGTGTGTGTGCGTCTGTGTTTTTGAGTGTGTTTGCTTTGCGGTCAGCGACGATTTTTCATATTTCCCAGCACTTTTTTGCGCTCCTTCGGGCTTGCCTTTGATGTCTGGCCTCGATACCGCCAACATCAGCAGAGGAATCGAACCCAAGCCGCCAGAGCCAACTTTCTGTTTCCCTAGTATTTCCTCGGCCCTCTTCCGCCGTCCGACGTCCTTCGTCCAGCAAATGCCAAATTGAAAATTGATGAATGCCTCTGATTGAATTTGATAGGTGCCAAGCACTCAGTGCGGCTATTAATCTCCGCCTAACGTATGATGTGCCACTGTGTAGGAAGAGATACGGGGTTGTATAATTCCCTGTAAAGTGGTCGCGGAAGATAAGTCCTTCATCAAAAAAATCACAATTCTTATAGGAAGAGAAATAGGTTTACCTGCACCTTAAATTTTTAAGAAATCAATGAAATCAAAATCGGTTTACAAATGTTGTGCATATTTTTTTAGAGGTAAGGCTACCGAATAGGTGCTTCGAACATATTTAACAAATTTTTCCTAACTATATGTTAAACTTAAAATTCTTTTCAGAGAGTGTACATGAAGGACCACATTTTATATACCTATTTTTGACGCCTTGGTATCTTGGCGTTGTCTGTTATTGCTGTGCGAATTTATGGCCCAGAGATAGTCTTCCAACAAAACCTCTATTAACGCCCCGAAATTTCGCGCTCTCTTCGGATTTTCAATATGGGCATTAGCTTGCCAGCCTCAAACCAATCCATTTGCCATTTAGCCAGCAGCTCTTTGCGTTCTCCAGGTGCAATTAAACATGTTGAGCACGTCAGGTTTCAATGAAATCGATGCGACCACGTCAGTCACGTGCCTAAGATATTGAAAATTCAATCGTTGCCATTAATGCGCACAAATCTTGACTTTTCGGGCAACCATCAATGCGATAATGGCACTCAGACGTTCAGGTGCTCATTTTTGCGACGGCGGCAGCAGGGGGAAGTGCGGAAACGCTTTGAATTTTTCAACATTTCCGCTTATTATTTTACGTGTCGGATTTGCGTGTCACGCAGCATCGTGCACTGGAGCAGCAAGAAGATAGCGGAATGAGCGTCTGAACCTGAACAAGTCCAGCCCTCGCCGATGTTTATGCAAATTAAAATATGTGCAATCAAATGGAATAACATGTTAACCAAATAATTTTGCATATTACGACAGTTGCAAAAATTGTTTTCCGCATTTACGATTTATGGTTTAGCGGCCAATTTACAATAAAAGTTTATTAGCACAAAGAACCAAACAACAACTGGTTATTAAGTTGGAATTCATTATACAACAATGTGGATTCAAGAAATGTTTTATTATTAATGCGCTTTAAGCTTAAAGCAAACAAACAACTGAAATTAATAACTTTTTAATTTTACAAAGATAAATAAAGCATTTTGAAAGGAATTTCAATAATACCTTGAGATTGAAATTATAATAAAAAAGCGAATGAGCGATGAGCTGCTCGTTAAAGCCGAAATCATACGTCAGAAATCCTTTGCTTGTATAGTCAACAAGCGATCAATCAGTCCCTTTCAACATGCGACAAAATCTGCCCCAATGTCTATTTGGGTTGGGGACTAATTAGGGGGAAAAAAGGACGCGATGCGGGCCAAATGATTGGTCACTTACATCCATCATGTGCCAATTCGATTATCAATATGATGTGGACTGCAAAGTCAACTCCCTTTTACTACACCCATAATATAGGACCCCTATTGACACATAAATCACAAAGTGTCCGACTTTTGAGCTGATATCTGTATCTATCAATATGGAAGTGAGTTTCCCATTCCTATCTGATGTTTCATCTTTCGACTTCTGGAACCTTGGCATGCAATTTTAATGTGTTGCGGAGACGGAGATGTATTTAAATGATTTTGTGAAAAGCCAAGAGTAACGAGGACACTTCATTTTATATGCCACAGTAAAGGAGACAGAGCAACTTTTACGAGAGAATTGAAAACTTTTGACCTTTGGGTTTGAGCTCACAACAATACAATCAACACGTTTCCACAATCGATCGATTTCATGAGCAATCAAATGTTGTCACATCCAGCCCCAGCGACGAAAAAGTTACAGCACAAGTTCAAAGTTCTTAACCCACAAGGCACCCTGCTCTGTCCCGAAAAACGGAAAAATGAAAAGAGAGTTTGGTAACAAAACCCGGGCCAAACGGCAACAACAGCAACAAGGAGCAAAAATGTCCAGCAATGAAAAAGAAATCCATTCAACATCCGCATCAACTGTCTGACAAAACTGTGACAAATGCGATGAGAACGAAACAAATTTAAATTAAATTTTCGCCCTATTCGGCTGCCAAAAAACTTTATACGGTTCACCAGTTGGCTTTTAGTTCGTCCTTGCATGTTTTTATATGTTAAGAAAGTTAATAGACCTACATAAAACTACAATTAGAATGACCTATTTGAAAAATAAAGAGTTTGAGTCCTTGAAATGTATTTAAAGTATTTAAAGTCATATTTTTCTTTAATTTGTGATGCTCCCGAAGGTAAAATAACAATATCGCTAACCGGTTTCTCAAGTATTTATGGCTTAGCCAAATGTCAGCACCCTGAGAATAATTCACCGAGCTCTAATTCAGTCCAGGCAGTGGTCTTATGGCTTGATGCCAGTGCCAGTGCTTGCAAAAGTTAACAAGAACACGTAGTAAAGATTTTGCCGTTTAGGTTTTAATGCGATTAGAGTGGCAGACAACAGCAGCAGATCTTGGCCTTGCCCTGTGATTTATGGCCCGGAATACACGTACCCATAATCGAAGCTGACCCACAAGACATTGAAAGTGGGCGGGAGTGGCAAATCCTAGGTTAAGAATCTAGTGACCGCACCCAGCCACGGACACAATATTTAAGTTTAAAAATGTATCAATGGGATTTGCGAACTGCTTTGTCATAAGTTCTCTAACCTTTGCCACTCGCAACTTTTACCCGTCTCCTTTGTTGAGTCTCAGGCTCAGGAGGCCAGGAATTTTTCTACTTCACCTCTGGGTGACTAGTTATCGCGAAGACGTTCGGCACGTGCCAGTGTTTTGTATTTGATTTACTGCCAGACTCAAGAGATTTGCCTTGACCGCGGAGGTTGGGTTCGAGGACTCCCTGCGCAAGATTTCGTTCATGAAGGAATTCCATCTCAATTTGCGTAAAGTGCAGAGCTGCGAGGAAGAGGATAATCTAAGTGGTGGTACAGTTCTTAGCGGCAAAGTAGTTTGAAGCTGATTATTCGCTTAAATCAATTATCCAATTTTTATTTGGGGCAAATCGGTTTAATTTATTTGGCTAGATTAATTATTTTTCGAACCATTTGTATTAGCCAAACAGTTAAACAGCATAATTTTATGCCAAAGCAATTCAGACTTGCGTCTAACTCAATTATAAGTCGATTGGTGGCTAATTCAATGCATGCCCAACATCATCAATGCTATAATAAAGCTTTGTTTGCCAACTCGTCAATGGAAACCGAATGACAACCAATATTTTCCATGTCACTTAAATTAGATAATTTGGTGCACCAATATAGAAATAAATGTACGAATGCGGTTAACTGCATTTGCTGGTATTAATTCACCTTCAGTCTTTCAGCGCTCAATGCCATCCACATAATTATTATTCCGTTTTTCAATATTTAATTTGTTATTCTACCCGCTGCCCATATATTACCCCTTGCCAATTCTGCGCGGCCGCACTTTTCGACTCATTTAGAATGTGGCAATATTTCTAATTGAAGGTTGCAAACAAAATCAAAACAACCGCGAGCCAGCTGGACATTTTGGATGCTTTGGTAAGGGGATGCGAGCACGCACACCCAGCGGGAAAGTGAGAAGTAGGTTTTTTATTTGAGTGGAAAACCTCCTTCTTTTAGCAGGCGTAGGGGTAGGGATAGTTGAAAACCTACTTCTTTTAGCAGGCGTAGGTAAGGGATAGAAAATTTCGGACCGCTAAATGGGGTGGGTTTCTGAATATGACCATAAGTTACAACGAAGTTGTGACTAATTATTGTCTTTGTCTTTGTGATGCACGGTCACATCAGCATAAAATTTCGTGCAAAAAGTGTAAAAAGTGAAAAAAAGTTGTGTTAATCTTAAAAAACAAGATAAAGGTAAGTTATAACATAAATATTTTTGTTTGTATTTCCTTATTTCAGCGTTACGGATATGGTGAGCATAGGCATTTTTACTAAAACTAAATATAAGCCGCCAGAGGCGGTTGTCAAGTAGGTAAGTTTTTTATTTAAATTTATTTTTCAGTTTTTCAAGAACAAACAATGTTTTTTCTAGAATTTGTAATAGATTCGACTTCAAAGATTCTGTCCCTTGTGTTAATATTAACGGCAAAACTGAACGTGCGCAAGCGGACATTCCGATTTCGTCATTTGAAGAACTCGGCCATTTGGACTCCGATGCCGAAGCCAATCCAGAAGCATTTGTAAGTACTCGCTAAATTTTTAATAAGTTTCAACAGCCCTGTGTTCCCATGCTTTTTACTAACACAGTATGTTTATTACTGACTTTTCTAAATTTCTCTAATTTTCCCATTACTTTTTATATATTTATTATTTGTGTTAATATGTAATATATTAATGTATTATGGTTTTTATTTTCAGAGTCACTCAGAAACGACAATTACAGTCTTACCCAATATCAAGATGATCTGCGTTCACCGTTCACTAAGGCAAATAATAACATACAACAATACTTATGATAAAGGCCCTTGGACTGTAAATAGATTAATAAATGCATATACCAAATTAAAAAGTATTATTTTTTATTGTGGAAATTCTGTAAAGCGGGAAGGCCAAAAACCAGTGGATTTTGCCCTGCATTCAGCAGTTACAGATCCACTGGATTTTGTCCTGCATTTAGCAGCTGTAGGTCCAGTGGATTTTGCCCTGCATTCAGCAGCTGTAGGTCCAGTGGATTTTGCCCTGCATTCAGCAGCTTTAGGTCCACTGGATTTTTCCCTTTACCCCTTACTTTTGTGTGTCACCCCCGTGTATTTTGAAAGGAGAGACGGCAGATTTGTAAGGGGTAAAGGGGATTTTCCACATTCCGCTTGTATGAAGAAACCACTGGAAAATAGCATATTTTCCACAGGTTATTTCCCGCTGGGGCAGCCTCCATATTCACCTATGTGTTTGTGCGTATCTCCGTGTGTGTGTGTGTGCATGCGTGTTTGCGCTGTTAAGTATGCTATGATTTATGCATCGCTGCTAAATGCTGCTGAGGTTTCCCCCGCTCATCCTGGCCCATTGCTCGGTGACCATGCGACCAGTGGCAACTATTTCGCATTCTAAATTGCAATATTCGATGCACGCTTAATTGGAGCTATTGATTAAATCGACCAGAGGGTGTGCGTGCCACCATTGACATGGAACAGACTAATTAAGTTGGATGGATGGTGACAGGATTTTTCCGAAAGTTATCGTGGTTATAAAAATCACAACCAAAATTCTGACATAAATGATAGATAGGTCAGTTACCACTCTCAAATATCCAGGTCTTTTGAAGTTTGTGATTATAATTTGTTTTATGTTGTTTGTTTTGCTTTTTAATGGTATCTACACTACTTTCAAGAAATTATACTTGTCAATATCTTAATGTTCAACATTAAATTAAATCACAAGCATAAGCATTTTTGCATAAAGTTTAACATCCAAAATCATCTTTAAATTAGGCAAGGAAAATAAATTCATATTTTAAGCCAAAAAAACCTGGCAAAGATGTAAAATTGCTTAGCTTTTTTAAGAGATGGTGGTGGCCGAGTTTCTTGAATAGATATCACTTTCCTTTCATTCATTCTCCACTGAATTTACACTATCGTTTACAACAAATTAATGTAGTTTTGTTGTGATGATAATCAATACTATGTTCTTATAATTTAAAGTGTAGTATAATAAACAAAGTCCACTATTAATTTAATTAAAGGTAATTTAATATTTTCCCCAGCTTGTCATTTTTAGATCAATGCTTTTCCTCACTTTCCTTTGAAAACCTCAATCTTGTGGTTATCAATATTTTTTTCTTACGTTTTTGCTTCTCTTGTGCCGACTCTCCTTACATTTTCTTTATGCTTTAACTTTCCCCCTTGGGCCAGGCATCCCCATTTTGGTTTATTTACCGGCATGCATTACCTTTTTCCAACTTATCGACGTAATTATCTTAAAAAATATGAAATTATATATCGCACGTAAAAAGACTGAAAGAAAACCGGTTTCGCAAAAAAGAAAAGAAAACATGAAATTCCAAGGTGAGCATAAAAAGGCAGCCAAAGTGGCTGCCATGCCCAACGCCCTTTGATTATGTGCCTGTGATAGCCCAGTTTTCATGTTTTCTTTATTTTGTTTTTTCGTTTTTGGCCTTGTAACGAAGGCGAGCCAGGTAAACTTGGAGCAGAGCACTTCTCATTAGAATGCTTCACGGCGCAGATTTGACAAGACGTCCGCCTAAATACAGCCAGCGTTTTCCTTTCCGAAAAACCACACCGCATCTTTCCACTTCTCTGTGTAACATGCTCTTTCAAATTTAGCATATTTAAGAAAAGTAAGTATTTACCACGCATTTATGGTAATTAATGTATGTTAATTAGCAAAAAATGTTTTGTTATTAATTTGTAATGAATACTGAGACAAATTTTGAAGGAGTATTAATAATATTCTTCTTTGCCTACGAGTTTAAAATATTTAAAATAAGAGTATCAACATTTTCGACTTTTGAAAGATTTCCCCACCTTGGCACACAAGCACGCATTTCCTGTTGCTGTCGTTGTTGTTACAGCTGCGCATTTTTAAACAAGATTAAAGCGCGCACGTCGTCAAGATTTTAGAGTGTGAGTCAAATGGGTGTTGCGAAAAACGCGGGCGGTGGTTAAGTGGGTATGAGTGGTGCGGGTGGTGGGGGTTGGGTTGGCATTGCTGCCGGCAATTTGTTGACTTGACTGCAAATGTGTCGCATCTTAATGCGCTGTTATTAAATATGCCACAGCAAATGGAAACAGGACTAAAGCACAACGTTACCAACAAGGAAGCGTAGGAAAATTTGTACAATTTTGAATCAAAGCGAGTATCTACGATCCTTTTCATTTTAGGATTTTAAGGATAGCTTGGGAAGTGTGATTGGAAGCATGGTATACATTTCACTTTGGAAAAAGCATTAATAATCAGAGTTTTTTTGCCTTCTAATTAAATGATTTTTCCTGTGTAGTAGGCGGTATTGTTATGACAATTTAATTAAGTTTAGTTCAAACTGGCTTAAATAATGGCTTTGGTCTTCAGTTTTAGTTTCCAGTTTCACAGTTAATTGAAATTATAATTGTGTTAACCACATTGCAAGACCTATCTTATAATTTGTTCGTAGACGAATTCAGCAATGATTATTTTCGTATGCTGATTTTATTGAAATAATTAAACGCGGAAAATACCGAAGGTGCGCAATTCATTGATGGCCCAAAAGTGACACTTGCACATTCATTTGTTGCATTTTTATTCGATTTCTCTCTTTTTTGTGGGTGTGTGCGTTGGATTTAAATTGCATTCTGTTCGAAACTGTCGGATGGCCGATGCCTGCTTGCAATAAATTCGCTTAATGAAGTTTTAAAAAATACCAACTGCTTGTGGGCGTGGTCAGGGCGATCCACGTGTTATGTAGAAAATGCATTTAATGTAATTATTTCTTTAATTAAAATATTTAGCGCAACAGCGGGTGCAACAGCAACAACATTGTCGCGAGAAGCGCCGACGTTAACAATTTGCACAAAAGTCACGTCGTTGGTGTTATTATTGTTAATGTTGTTATAATGCCTCGAATCGACCATTCAGCTTAATTGAAACCATTAAAAATATCGTTGCAATCGGCTGAACGTTGCATACTTCTGGACGCGCCACGTGATTAAAATCGAATCTCATTAAGAAAAATGCATTCAGGTTTTATATGTGCCCTGTATTAAGCTTCTTCGGCAGTTGGTTTAAAAAAAATCTGCTTATTACATACATTCTATGTTAACTTGCATACGTTTTCTTGTTGATTACTAAACTACTGCAATTCCCTGAAAATTCCATTTTAAACTTGAATTCCAATCGAAAAAATATGCGGCCTTCTGCTGCATTCAACCCTCAAATCCCCATTCATGCAGTTGGACGAGTGCCAGGCAAAGGTTAATTTACTTGAAAAATTCCGGAATGCTTATTCTTAACAAATATGCGAGCAATTGCTTAGCTTACTTTTCAGGAGAATTGAATTGGCTTAGGGTACAAAGGAAACTGCGATGCAGAGGGGGAAATGGCAACGTAGCACTAACAACTGCGCTGATTTATCTGCACAAATTGCCAACTGAAATTAATAAGAGAAATCAGTTTACCATTTCCTGTCGACGACGACGACGACGACGAAGAGGACGTATACGACGACGACAAAAATACTAGAAAAATGCCAACTAATAGTCCATTGTCGATGTCGTTTCTAGGGATACTTGAGAGTGGGTAGTGGAAATGAAGAGACATTCCAATAACTGTACAACATCCGGTTGCATATACACATACACACACACATATACAATGCTCCAAACACAATGGCAAAAACGTTTCCATTTTCAATGGGGAAATATTTCTATTTCAACATGAAAATATTTTTAGCAGCCTTTTGTGTGGGATATCTAAACGACTCTTCACCTGACGAAGACCTGATAAAAATTTCTGCTTCAGTTGAAAAACAGATAGAGAAAAAAACGTCGAAAACCAAGAAAAATTCAATCTTAATCCAGTCGCTCGGCAGGATATTTTTTATAGACAGAAAAGTAACTAACAAGAGGAAAGCAACGAAAAAAAAGTGAAAAACCAAAATGGATGCCGTGCACTTAGACCTTTGTTGAATGGAACCAGTGACGTATGCACTTGACTTGCACATTTGCGGTGGCAGAAAGCCTCTGGAACTCAATTCGAGCCACAGCCCGAGCCAAATCCGAAGAAAAATAGTTATTGTTAGGGCGAACGAGGACATCGCCAACGACGAAGGCAGTAAGTAGCTTTATTATGGGATTTTAAGTTATTACACCGGCGCCCCGATGGCAAAAAGAGGAGAGTTCGAGGTGCAGGATGCAGTATGCCGAAGGATCTGGCAGCGATGATAATCGGGGTGCCATTGCGAGCACTCACATATGCGACTCCTTGCACTTGAATGCCGGTCTTAGTCGACGTGATGACGGGCTGCCTCTTGGCCTACAGCCGAATTTGTCAACATGATTTCTAAGAAATTCAATTCGTCTTCCTTTCATTCCCTTTTGCGGCTTCCATTTCGTTTAATCGGGAGTATTTGCATTGCTATGTGGGTCGGTCCTCATACTTTAGGATGTGGTATAAAGTAACATTCGTGAGATAAACTTATAAATGTAGATAGTAATATCTAAAAGAAATCATAAATTTATCTCGAACATTTTTTTGCATCATTTTATTACGTTCTTGTATGGTTTTAGCTTTTCATTTCTTAAAAAGCTCAAAACACACTTTAAATTTATTGAATGTTTTCTCTAGAGAATTTAGTCAGCTCTTCAATTGCTTCCATCCATTTGGCTGAACTTGCTAGACAACTGCCAATCTTTTGGTAGTTTATTTTACAAGATTGGGAAACTGATACTTTCTATGTGTGCGTCCTCTTTTTGACCTAGTTAATAATTCAGTACGATACATTAGTCGACAATGAGTGCTCCACCCATCCCATGGCACATCATTTAGGGTGTCACTATTTGACACTAAGGCTAATTTAATGGAAAATGTCCGAAGAACTTGAAAATTGTGTTTATCGCGTCACGCAACGGACGCGTTTTCGCTGCGAGCCGACACCAACAAAATATATAAGTGAGGAATATAGAACCCGACTCATGTGGTTCATATTTTAGCTGACATATCTATTTATATGCAAATGCCACACCTCCCGGAAAACGCGAAGACCCCTCTGTCACCTGGAAAACTCAAACTGCCTGCGTGCGTGCTAAAGTCAAAGTCGAGGAATTTTCCTTTGTTGTTTTGGCATTCCTGGAACAATAAATCACGGCACCTAAACTGAGGGCCTCACAAGGGGTCGGTGGGGTAAAAACTAATAAATCTAAGGCCAATTAATTGACTTAACTGCTGCTGGCAATGGCAGAGACCAAAGATGAGGCAAGTGCAAAGCCAACGGCAAAGGCAGAGACTCGAAAAGGGTCCCAATTTATGGCCGCACCATCAACTTGAGCCCGCACATAATAAATCATAACATTTTACAGATAATAGAAAACCTCACACATGTCCAAACAATCGGAATCCCCAAGTCGTTCCACCCCAAAATTTCTTCGCCACACCGACTTTTGTTAGCCCGCCGGCTAGAAATTTTAATAAACCGCAAAGAGTTTGGCACGAGCAGTAGTGGGAATAAAAATTGTTTCACATAATTTATGCTGCCTAAGAGGAAAACTTAACACACCGCCACCAACAAAAAGGAAAAACACGGGGGCGGAACAGGAGGAACAGAAGGATGTTTCCCAGGATGCGTATCCGCCGGCGTCTTTTCGATCAAATCTAACTTAACTCCGTCCAGTTTGTGTGTGGGTTTTTGTGGTAGCATGCCTCGACTTGGCAGTCAGTTTGCTGAAGCTTCAGTTAGAACTAGGTGTATCACACAATCAGTTTACATTCAGAATTCTCCGTATTAGGAGCTCAAATATTTCTCCGTTTTATTTCAAAATTTTTTGGTGAAAAAAGTGTGTTTATAAAAATAGTAAATCGAAGAAGGTAAGTGAATACGAAATACAACGAAGTCTTACATCTCAAAACATGAACACTTCAATTAGAGAATTTTGAGTAATTGTGGATACGTTCTATTAAAACATTCCGTTTAAATGTAGAAGCATTTCTCGTTCTTTTTTGTTGCTTTATTTTTCGGATTGCTTGAATTTAAATTTTTGTAGTTGTAAGTTAACAAGAAAAGAACGAACAAATGCAGTAAGTCAATGTCGAATACGAGGTTGCGGGGCGTGTTGCACAAAAGTGTTGCAAGTCGGAACGGAAACTCGCCGGTCACGCCTCTCGTGCCGGTCGGCGTGTTTGTCTTGATGTCGGATGGATGTGGCCCTCCTATCTGGCTTTAAACTAATGCCGGGGGCAGCCCGTCGACAGCCGACCACGGACCACCTTGCCACGCCCCCGCGCCTTGTAATGACGTCATTTACATGCTGCAACAACACTTGCAACCAGCCAGGGCAATTACATAAATCATACGGCACGCGGTTTCGGCTAGACGAAAGATTCGAGTTAATCCAGAGAGAGGTACTTTAGGTACTTTCTTTCTTTCGCCAAGTGAAAACGTAAATAAATTACACGCTCTGATTGATCAACTTTTTGCCCGATGACAACCATAAAGGGGCAATGGGGCAAAGGGGCACTGTCATTGCGGCCGAAAATGTCGAGGCAGCCGCTCGTAAACATAAATCCAAGTGACGCTAATTGTTTGTTGCAATTACTGCTGCAGTTGTTGCCACCGTTCAGTTACGTGTGCAGTCAGCAGCCAGCAGCCAAAATGGGGCAATATGTGGGGTTGGGGTTAAGGGTGTAGAGGAGGTGGAGGAGGTAGAGGGGAGGGTTCTGTGTTTGCATGCAAATTTTGTTGCATCTGCAGTTGCTGCTACTGCTGCTGCTGCTGTTGCTGTTGACGCTGCAGCAACGGCAAACAATTACTCAAACATTGTTGCAACTGCTGCATCTCGTTGTGCGTGCTAAATGGCAACTACTCTGGCGGCTAATGATAATCACTCGACGACGTCAGCTCCTGTCGATTCTTACTTAGTTTAACCTGCTTCGCTTCGGCTTTTATGGCCATTTTATCTTTTTGTCAATGGCTTCATCATTAAGGGTTGCAGGTTGCTAAACGCAGCGATTTTAGCAAAGGAAATTTAAGAATCTGTATTGGCTTAAATTCAAGTTAGAATTTCGGAGTATTATGCTACTTAAAATTCTTCATTATTGGCATTTCCTCTTATGTTATCCACAATATGATTTAGAAGTCTGCAGCATAATTCGACACAAATGAGGCATTATATAGAGCTCTATAATTTTAAAGGACTTTGGGGTCCAAGTGGGGCTCTTTGGAGTGTGTTTTAAGTGGAAATGTGGTCCGATAGCACAGCTGGCTATTAATCTGAATTTATGTATAACCATAACAGCTTCACATTAATATTTTTGAATAACCGAATCTACTATTATTCGGTAAGCCGAGAACAACTGATTATAAAAAATTAGTTCCTACAGTCCGGTAATCTGTAGATAAATTCTATCCTACCTCCTATTTATCAGCTTCAAAAATGGGTCAACAAATATTAAATTTGCATTCGAATTTTAAGTAAAAGTACAACCAAAGCAAAATTTTTTAACATTTAAGTGATGCACTTTAGGGACACTGACTAATTTGCACTACAAAACCATAAGTGACATGGAAATTTCCCCGACAATTAAATAAACAGTTCGTAATACCCCCTGGTCTTGGCTAACAACCGTCACTTCTGGCCCACACACATGGTGACTAAACTGTTGGCTGTCGTGTGGCAGTTTGCAACTGTAAAGTGATATTAATTATGGGCTTTGTTGCAGTTGCAACCGCCTGTCGCATGCAGTTCAAACCCTTCTCCTGGCCTACCGGCTTCTGGGGTGGAGATGAGGTTCCACTTCCTCTTCCGGCTTCGGGCTCCTCACTGATTAAGTGACTTTTCGACAGGACACAATTCTGCGGCTTCTGGGGCCAGCATCCACTGCATCAGTTTCCTTTCATGTAGGACAAACTAATTTCAGCACAATTGATAGGGTAGATCATAGTGAAGAATAAGAGTCCACCTTTTAGTACCTTTATTATGAACATTGTACCTGTAGTTGTATCTGATGAAATGCACTTTTTATTTCATTTTAAGCAACTTAATAATTAAAACAAATGGTCCTTCCAGGTTCCCTTAAATTTAGATAATTTTATAGGATTTATACGACTGACTTTTGATACATGAAATGGGCGACAAAATAGAGGAAATTAAAAGCATGAGTGGTAGATCGCCGATGGGTGATGGATCGTTTCTTGGTGAATCATTTATGCCGAATACCGAAAATATTCGACAATTATATGGCGATATGTGCCTGATGCATTTTGCTAGAGAGGCTGCAGGATCCCTAAATACGAGCGAGGAAAACCAAAGTTCTAAAGAAAACTTATCTGATGCAAGCCAGGCGAGCATTGGAATGGATGACGCTCATCAACTAATCAGTCAGATGCGTGGTCATCCAATGGCTAAGGAATGTGACATGAAGCCAAGGAAATCTGCTTCCAAGCCAATGAAATCGTGTGCCAAGCCAATGAAATCGTGTGCCAAGCCAATGAAATCGTGTGCCAAGCCGAAGAAGTCCTGCGCCAAGCCGCGAAGAAAGTCGGCTTGTGGGAAACCAAAAAGAAAACCGGCATGTGCTAAGCCAAAGAAAATGGCATGTGCTAAGCCAATGAAATCGGCTTGTGCCAGGCCAAAAAAATCTGAAGAAGACGAGTGTGAGCAACCCAAGTGCAGCAAGCCGGGTCCGGTCACCAACAATGGCTACCTTAACTTCTTGCGTTCATTCCGCAAAAAGAATTGCGGTCTCAAGCCTCAGGAGATTTTCAAAGCGGCCGCCAAAGCCTGGTGTGCTATGTCCGAGGAGAAAAAGGATCGCTACCGCCGCATGGTAATATGTGTTTTTTTTTTTTTTAAAGAAATAATTTTGTAATAAACTTTCAAATATTTTCCAGGCCTGCAAGGTCACACAAAGCGACCGCCACAAGCGTCGTCGTATCTGTCAAGGCACATAGTTCGCTATTGGTGATCATCCATCATAATTCCGGCATCCTTTTCGATTTCATGCGATTTTAACGTCTGTCAATTGTGGGTCACTTTAAAAATGTTATAGCTAAGTTGGCTAAGGCTACGGTTTTTTTTAGGAGTATAGAAAATTACAATGTTTAAAAATTACAAAATTAAAAAAAAAAAGTTATCGTTTGTTTTATTTCTTAAATAACATAGGAGCCACATACAAAGATACATTTCTATCTTCTTGACTTGGCTGGTATAGCACGTGTGACTGTTTATGCAGTTGTATCAGCTCGTGGACGAAGTTCAATTTAATATTCCCCGATATGAGCTTTCGCACTTAACTTGCATGAATAGATAATGAGGCATCCGCCATGGAAATGGAGCAGGTAAGCGCTGAATGTGAACCAAAATGGGGTTTTCGACCGTGGATGATTGGAGCGGATGGTTGCGTGTTTGGAGCTTTCCTGGAGTTCTCTGACCCGGCGCCTGTTGTAAGACAGCCAAATTGAATTATTAATAACACGCAGTGCTCGCAATGTAACGGATGCTATAACCGTAACCCTGTTTCTGTAATGCACAATGTGGTTGCGAGTAGACAACCTTGGGACAGTTGGCAAAAATAACAATGAAAGGGCAGAAGAAACGAACTAATCGCAGCACTTACGACCATAATTTGTCAATTTTCGAAACAATTCCTCAAGCACCCATAAATTGTCTGGTGGCCTCCTGTCTCCTGTCTCATTTCTGTTTTCCTTTTCCCTGTCGCTGGCTTTTGGCACCCATTACAGCTCATTTCTCTTACTCAGAGGGACATTGCGCAGTGAAAAATGAAAGTGAACCCGAAACAGTGACGAACTGTGGCGGCCTTGTTTCGAAAAAATGGAAATAAAAGGCATTTAAATGCCGTTGTGTGCATAAATTACTCAGGAGTTGACATTTTCCCACATAAATGTGTAAATGAGTCTCAGTTTTCGCAGTTTTTTCAGTTCTGTTGCGAGCGAAATTGAAATGAATGCGGGGTTCGAGTTGGAATCTTTGGTTTTTCGGTTGTAACTTGTTGCTCTCGCTGATTAAAGATGGGGCTGATATATGATTTTCATCACAGGGCCAAAACGGAAATTGTATGTTTGAAAAAAAAAAAATGATTACATGTTGCTATATATTACCAAAAACATTTGATGTTTTTTTAAGGTTCATTTTGTTGACGTAGACTAAATACACTTACATATTATTTTCTTAAAAAAAAAACAAATTGCAAGAAGTACCAAATAAAATTAAATACACGCCACCAAATATAGTTCCAAATTGAATAAATTTAATGGACATTTACTAAAAGCTACGGCAAATAAAAATTCACTTAGCTAACAAGAAAGGAAAATCATAAAAAGATTGCCAGCCCCAAGATGGTTTTTTTGTTTTTTTTCTTGTGAGGTAGAAACGATATGTACGGAAAATTACCGCCCCTTTGTGCATTTGGCCCTAAGATAACTGCCGGCCAAATGACACACATTAGGGCCAAGGTATATTCGAAAGGAGGCTGAGTCGGCTTATGTGTGCGAAATCAATTCAAGCTCGATTTCCTTTGATGAAATGGTAAGTGTGTGCATGTGTTCGGGCCATGACCAGAGTACGTGACAGTTATTCTTAAATCGACCAAAAAAACAAAAATCCCCTGAAATGTTTAAGGTGTGCGCTGCTTCCAGCGCGAATTGTAGAATATTGATCCGAAAATCGTTCAATTAATAACGCAAATCCTTTATGGTCAGTTACCAGGGACATCGGCCCGTTAATTAATGCACTTGTCTGTTCGTTCCATCCTCCAATCGCCTTATCTCCTCCTGTACTTCTCCCTTTCCCCTTTTGCTGCTATGATTAATGTTTAATTAAGTTTGCTGCATTTAAAAAATGCCTGCCGAATCGGCAGCCCTTGCAAGGGATTACATCATATTTAATCAGAGTCATTATTTATAATGATACCGCTAGCATGAGGCATTATAGTCAGTGCTTCTGAAATATGCCACAAGTTATCAAAAGCTCGAGGTAAGCGCCATTTTATATAAGCGTTAATAAGTGAATTTCATGGGAGTTTCGCTAGTTGTTCCGTAAAATATTTTCGCGAACATTGCAATGTAAATTTTTAAGTTGTAAAAAGAAAGGCATGCAAGTAATCATCTTTTATTTTTTATTTATATATTCTAATGTTTTGGTATCAAAAAATATTTATCAAAATATTTATCAAATATTTTTGGTTAAATTTCTTTAAAATATTTCATTGCCATGCCGAAATTGATTTAGCCCGGAATAGTTCATTACGCAACTCGTGTATTCAGAGAAGCTTAAAGTCGCCCTTAACGGTGGAGTGACCCAAAGTGCAGTTTCCGTTCGAGTTGAAGTAAATTAATTAACAATGTTTATTGTTTGTATAATATGCGAATATTTCCTTGCAGTTGCCAATGTGCGGTCGTTGTTTTCGTAACTCTTATTGCTGTTGCTATTGCTGTTGCAATTGCTGTTGTTGTAGTTGTAGTTACTCTGAAGTTGTTGCCGTTGTCGCTGCAGTTTCTGATGTTTGTGGCCGCTTTGCCTGACTGACAGTCAATTTGCAGCAGCACTTAAAATGTGCAGAAATGTTTTACATTATTTGCACATGCTGAAAATTTAAATTAAATTATTTTGTTTTGCTTCTACTATTGCACAGTCTCTGCTCTCCGACGTGCATCTTCATCAAGCACTCGGTCAATGCAATAATCTGTTAATTGGTAATTGTTAACCATTAAGCAATGAGTTTTCCTGAGAATACCTGCGGCCTGATACTCTTGATTGTAAGCATAATAATTGAGGGAACCTCTAGGATAAAATGTTGTTGCTTTCTAATGAATATGATTGCCAGAGTTGATGTAAGTAAATGGATACAGTTGAGCGAAGAAATAACTCAAGGTTCGTTATTGCATTGTTTTAAGGAATAATTGTTTAAATGTTAAGATTGGGATAAGGTCTGAAAGTAACTTAGAGCATATATTTTTAGTTGGTTTTATATATATTTGCTGGTTATAAAATGCATTTTTGGCGTTCAAAGTATTTCAGTCAACTCAACGATTTACTTGTCTATCAATCCAAATTTTGTTTCGAAAAACTTGTTCAAAATTTACTAATTTTTTTCGCGATTTAGATATGATGCCTGATATTCATGAGCTTATAGTGACGTGCATAATATTTTTTTACCGGATGTTCTTGGTTTTTGTAAGCTATAAGATGTTAAGTGTTTAAAAAATTAATGTGAAATTGTTTTTACAATCGTATAGCGATCTATTCATCCCTTTAAAAAGGACGCACTACTGCTTATAATGCACAACATCCTGCTGTACCACGTGATTAATCAGTTCAAGCACTTGGCTCAGGGTGGAATCAAATTATTACCGAGCTTTATAACCTTCTAATACTTTGTATCCACAGATTCGATAGACTCAGATGGACCCGTGAACACCTTCTATTATGTGCCATTGGTTTATGAGGAAAGCGCTGCCTTAAGATCCCATCAGAGTTGGCACGGGGTCCTTAGGACATCCAGTTGGAAGTTCTTTGAGGTCCTTTTCAGACATCATTTGGCCCTGCTGTTGCCGTTTAATTTGACCCTCATTGTGCCCGTAAGAAGTGATTATTCTTTGCCTTTGTGCCAACGCTCCTTCGATTTCGCTGCAGCGCTGCAAGTTGGCCTTCATTAGCACTTTGGTCCTGGTGTCGAACTTCGTGATGTTCGTCTGTTTCGCCTCGGCCATTTGTCAGTTGGTAGTGGCTAACGGACACGCCCACTTTGTGCGCCTCCTGACGATCCTGTGTTTGGGACCCGTGTGCCAAGGCCTCCTGGTGTGCCGTCTCTTAACCCGAATGTGGGTAAGTATCCCCCCCTAATAAAGATGGAGGAGATGGAGGGGCCCCTTCTTTAATTTGGCCATGTTCCTATAGCTCAGCTAGTGGATTGTTGTTTGAGGCATGAAATTTGATTTGCCGGCACTGATTGCTGGCCAAAAGCCACACACACACCCCCCGCCCTCAACGTAATCAGCACCACAGAAGTTAGGAGCAGCGTATCAAAGCAATAAACCAACTGAACCCATCCGAAAATCACTTTCACTGCACAAAAACTGCCAAACTGCAGGCATTTATGACAGCCAGGCAATGGCGGTGGTGGTGGCGACGGAGAGGGCTAAAATCGCATAACAAAATTGTTGCTGAAAAGTTGAACAAATATTGAGGTCAGCAGAATGTCGAGTAGAGAGTCTCGAGCCGAGTCGAGTCGAGTCGATTCTGGGCATTGTGTTGGTAATAGTGGTAGTAGTGGTGGTAGTGGTGCAAACTGTTTGCTAGCCTTTGGCACAAACTACCCGAAACAGTCTGGAAGCCATGACGCTCTGGCTCAGGACCTCTCGTTCGATGGAGGCCTCGACCGGCCCTCGATTCTGGCCGAAAAATATTCAATGAAAATCGGCAGTCGACAGTCGACAGTCCCCTCTTTGTCAATAATACAAAATGGGAAAAAATGAGTTGTTGCTGCCGCAGCTCGAGTTTGCATGGCGCAATGCAGACGTCGACGTTGCCCGGGGGTCCGGTTACGATGCCGTCTGCCCTGACAGCCCACCGTTCCTTTCTCGCCCTGCGAAAAGTTCCCCGACCCCCTCCCCAATCGACGCCTCTGGGCCACCGAACCCCCTTCCACGTGCCTTCTGCCTTCACTTGGAATTGAGAAATTGCCGCAAATGCTTTTCGATTTTTCGTTTTCGTCGGACAAGCCTTGGCTTTTCATATTGCATAATTGATTGTGGGTGTGCGGGCGGTCGGGTGTGAGTGTGTGTGTGTGTGAGTTGCATAAATACAGAGCAGACGGCATTGTCACCACCCCCTTCGGATCGACAGGGCGGCATTTATGCACATTTTCAATATGCATTCAGATCCAGATGCATTGGGCATGCATTGATTTCCGCAGAGGGCCCGAAAAGAGCATTGCCAAGTTGGCTTGTTGTGTTCACGCTTTCTTTGCCAATAATTAAATTGGGAAACTTTTAAAATGAATTTCTCCGAAAATCAACAAGTTCTCTTCGTGGCCAGTCTCTTTTGAGCTTAAATTTTAAGTAGTTAATTTAAGGAGCAGTCCTTTAAATTTAAATAAAAATTTGTTTATCTATTTTTTAAGCTGTTGAAATTGGTTATAGTTGATTAAATTTGCACTTACTTTAAATACAAAAAAAATAGCTGTTTTTACTCTACTTTTAGGTGGACTTTTTGCTGCAATGTAGTTGTGACTTTTCACCATTTGACGGCTAGGAAAAAAGCTGTGAAGTATAATTTAATTGAGCTATTAAAAATAAAGTGAAAATTTAAAATGCTTAATTATAAATTATAAAACGGTCACATCAAAGGCACGCAGATTATCAATACAAAATTGCATATCTTTTTTTTGTCTGCATTCGTATTTAGGTTAACACGAACGTGACATATAGGTTGTGACACTTTTGTTGATTTCTCGTGCAGGACTCACAACATTTTAAATTCAAATGCAATAACATGTTGATATTATTTTATGGACCAGCAGCCGTCCTCAGCCACCGTCCTCATTATGACACCAACATAAACGTGTTATCTATATACCCTGCCAAGTATATATAAATGTGCTTATATGCTTATTTGATTTACACACTAAATATATGCGAGCTGTGGTGCCAAGACGTAAAGATTGCAAATTGCATGTGGGATTCCCAAGAGTCTAATAACATCAAAACAAAGCTAAAGGTGTTCAGGTATACAGATATAAAGAAGTGGAGATACTCTTTAACATTGAACTGTTCTGGATTCGAAAAAATACACCATTAACTAGGTATTTCACAAACCTATTAGTAAAATTAAAGTTCTTTTAATTGCAAGAAATTTGTTGTAGAATTTATTAAATCTACAAAAAATATTGTATTCCGTCGGCACCTCCCGAATCGCTATAATTCCAATTCCTTCCGATTTGTTTGCACCCCTTGCACTTCTGTGCTTTTTATCACATAGTTGGTTTACCCTGCTTGAGTGATGTACTAGAACTGCGAGAGCTCTCGACGAATCTCAAGTCGTGATATAGCCGCGCAGTAACGAGCCACACAGACCGTGTCCCTATTCGCCTTTTCCTTTTCCTTCGAGCCCCTGCCACGTGACTATATAATAATGAGCAACGGCACAGGTCCTTCGTCTCTGAGCATGAGAAATTTAATTTTAAGCCACCATGGGCCACCACCCCTTCCCCCTTACAGCCACCCCCACACTCACACTAGCTCTGCCACACGCCCTGCCACATAATTGTGTATTCAAGTAAGAGATATGGGAGCTGAAAGAAGCTCCATCAACGAGCGCCAAATGGAAAGTGGGTGGTGGAGAGTGGAATGGATGGGTGGGTGGTAGTTCGGTGCAAGGACTGCCTTAAATTAAGATAATGACACGTGAGGTATCGCCTCCTGGGGCGGCAGGAGTGGTTGGTAAATTGCGATAACATAGAAATGGCCTCAATGGCGGCTCACTTTAAAACACTTAACCCTTGACACAGACACCCTGCCCACTCTATAATTTCGCACCGCCCCCGCGGTGGCACGCACTTTTAAAGCGCAACCCGGTGGCAAACTGCCAAAGAGTTGACTTCCTTGGGCGGAAGAAAGTAGGGCATGCCGCTAGGAAATTTAATTTACATCCGAGCCCATACAGCTCAATTGAAAACCGCACACATGCCCCTTTGGTTTTTTTTCTTACCCAAGGCTCTTGTCTACTTAAATAACTCATGGCTTTTATCAAAGTCTTGGTGCTTGAAACAAACAAACTTTGATTGTATTTTACTTATTCATGTCCTGTAAAAGTTTCAGGTTCGATGACAGTTACTTAAATTATTAATTGAGTCGTTAAAATAGCCACAGCAAAGAAAACATTTTTAAAGGAATTTATCAAAGTATTTCTGTTAACAAAAAATACCTTCTTAAGTGTTTTTAAAGTTTAAGCCAACATAATAGTTTTCGAAGTAATTGAACAAATAATACATTGCTTATAACCTAAAAACCAGAAAGTAGACAAATTGATCTATCTATAGTAAAACAACAGGAGGTTATTGAGAATGATTTGTATTGACTTCACATCCCTTTCAAAACAATTTCCTGCATGCATGTCGTAAGGGATTTCCTTTATCAATGTTACAATCAGCTAATCAATTGGAAAAAAAGAACACTAGGACACAATAAAATCATGACCGAAAACTTAAGCGGCCGGATGTGAATTTTCTTGGAAAATCGTCCGAGTGAACGTTGGAAACAAAATTTGCATATGAAATGGCCGCAAGGTAGACAAAGCCCCTAGATGTTTATTTCAATATAGATTCAAGATTCTTTTGAAGTGATTTGTTTGTGATATGCAGACTAGTGTTCAGGAAACAGACAATTGGTAAAAGGTGCAAAAAAATGGTTGCTCCCCAGAGTCCTTGAGTTGCACACTACTTAGATCCACAGACGTACTTATCATTCCCCTTGCAGAATAATCCTTCAGGTTTCCATGCATCCGTTAAAAGTCGCCAAGGATTTGAAACAATTTTTTCTGGTTAAGAGCTTTGTTTTCATTTGATATTCATATTCTGTAAATACTATAAAGTTGTTGTTTCGTATAGAAATATTCAAAAACATTAAATAAATATGTTTAAAGAAAAATGCGTAATGAATGACTTAAATAACAGAGAACAAGGCGTTTCAGCCCACTGTGCAGCTGCTGCTTTATTTTCACATGTAATGGCATTTTAATTGCACGCTACAGCTCAGCCAAGTGTCTCTCAATTAAAAGTGTCTGCTTGGCTCAAAACGACATCCTGCCCCGTTCCTTCAGCCAGCGTTATCTTTGAATGGCTGAGGAAGGAAAATGATGTCAGCCACATGTCGTAATTTGCGTGAAACAAGAGGTGAGGAAACACCCCCGACCCGCAGACCATCGCACGCACCCGGATCCCCAGCTGAATATATACATCGCATATATCTGTTAATTATGCTGGGCAAGCCGCGTGCTTGGCGAGATAAGAAGTCCAGGGGAGTTTGCCATGGAATAATTGCCGCCTTGAGCTTAAAGTCACTTCTCTGTTTCAGGCGATATAAAGTATAACTAATAAATTTATTGTAATCAAATAAAATGATCCGCTTTTTGGCCGGGGTCGAGAAAGAGGCATCGAAAGATTATCGGCAGGAACCATTAAGCTTAAGAGAAGAATTACGCTACAGCAGATTTGGTCTAGATCATGATTCTCCTGAGGATTTTTTGCGATCGCAAGTTTGTTTTTGTCAACTTTTGTAACACACTCTTTTAATTCCAGTTAATTTTTAGTGGCAATCAAAGGCAAAATCTATTGTTTTTCTTGGCTACCGCTGGATACTTGGCACCTTTTTTGGTGTCGGCGTGGTCAGCTACACGATATTGTACTACCGTCGAGGCAACGTTTTCATTTTCCTAACCAACTGGGGTTTTTTTTTGTGCGGCATAGTCAGCATTAGTGGTGCCATACTTGTAACAGTTTACCACATCAAACCGGAATCGTGGGGTAGGTTGTTTTTATTTGGGAAGATTTGAACTTAAACCTAACTTCCCCCAAAGTTCCTCCCAGCTGTTTGATCAAGATTTATTGGGCCTTATACTCCATCAATTTTGCAGTGGCCTATGTGATCGCCACTATTTATTGGATGGCAATTTATCCATCCGATCGGAGGCTAGACAACCCAACTCGGGTCTCCGATCTTTACAATATCTGGACACATCTGCTGCCCGTAATCTTCTTCACTGGGGATCAATTAGTCGTGGCACAACCAACCCGCCTGTTGCACTTTATCTACCCTTTGATTTTCGCCAATATTTACGGATTGTTCACCTTCATATTCTATAAGCTGGGCGGCCGCAACTTGTAGGAACTGAATTTTTAGTAATCCCACTTTAAATAATTTTGGTGTAATTGTATCTTTCAGAAATGGCAAGCACTACATATATCATTTCCTGGACTTTAAAAAACAAAAAGAAGCTGTGTGTACCGTGGCTGGAGTGAGTGTAGCCGTAGTGTTTTTTTCAATCGTGCAATATGGAGTCTACCGACTAAGGACATTCATAGCTCGCAAGCTGGGAGAACTACAATGATGGCTGCTGTTCTTCTAACAACATTAAAATGATGCGTGCCAAAACTTTAACTAAAAGGATAAGCTCAAAGAGAATGGAACGACCTAAAAGCACCCTTTTTTTAAAATGACTAAATGTTTAAAGTCCTGCGAGGCTAATTTTTCTATTAAAAATGTATTTTGTCTAAAGACTATAAACCCTAGATTCTGGGCAGCACTGGGTATAATAAAAACCACAGAAAAAGGAGAGATATGAAAACAAATTCTGCTTATTTGTCCTCTGATATGTCGGACTTGTTTTGCTGTTTACGCAGCTCGCACGTGTTTTGAAAATTAAAAGCGTTGCCTTTGCGTCTGCAGCTTTTGTTTTGTTCTGATGCCCCATCCTTGTTTCCCATGGGTTGGCCACATCATGTCCTGTGTATCTATATCTGTTTTGTATCTCATTGGGTTTTATTCGTCAGACCGTCATATTTTGTTTTGATAAAGTTTTGTCCATCCTTAAACTTGTATTAATATGCCTAATGGCAGGCCAATGTTACTTAAATATTTTAATTAGCCTTTGGCGTGGCTTAAACACATTTTCAGTTCAGTTTTAAGCCCAGCAGAAACTGCACCTGCAATTACAGTTGTAAATAATGTTGGCACGACAGCAACAATAAGTTGACTCATTGCTGCATTTTTCCATCCAACCAACCGAACACCCGCTCGCACCACCACGGCATTAACTTCTGCTTCGATAAATAAACAAGTTGAGCTACTTAAGATTTAAGTTGTTGTTGCAGTTGTTCCCGTCCTCGTTCGTCCCTTGTTGTTGCAAGTGGGGCGCACACAAAATTTATAGTGAATACTTTTCCCCTCATAAACCGGGGTAACCCTGCTCCTTTCCATTCCCCCCAGTTGCGACCGCCCGTGGCCACCCCTTAACTGCATTAACCCCTTCAGTCCGTTACAAAATTGCACATTACGTATACGCTACGTATGCTCACTTGAAGCATGAAACTCTTCTGCACAGTGCACAACAGCAGCTGCGCTGCCTGCGTGTGCGTTGGATAATAATATAAGCATATAAATGTTTATGTTAAATTAAATTGAATGCAAAAAGGCGGAAATGTTACGAAAAATTTTAAAAATAAAAACGAAGGAAAAACACTGGGGATACAAATGCATTTTCGCCTTGTTGGCTGCAAATTCAGGAAATGGTGTAATTACCTCCCTGCGTCGCCTGCGATGGCGACAGAAATTTAAGACGGCCCTTTTAAGTTATGTTTGGCTTAAACTGCCATTTGCCACCCACTTTGTATGCCAATGCAGTTTGGCGGCTGTCAGGCTGAGTGCAGCCATAAATACGTTAACGTTCGATGTTTTAGGCGATGCCAGCTGCAACTATGGAGCCCTGCTAAGTGGCTGCACTTTAACAGTACCCACAGGGTCCCTCTGACATGCCACTAGGCAAGGCGACTTTATGGGTTTGAATTTTTTTAGTCCTAACATGTGTGTGGCCAATATCTATATAGGTATGTTGGCTTGCTGAGGAGCAGCACAACATTTACACAATTGAAATCACTTAAGTGTTTAGTCGCTGGCATGAAACATAAAGCTGTTAAGGCATTTATATTATTTGATATTTTTCTAGATCCTTAAAGTTATGCTAGCTACGCTAGCTAAAGGTTATTTGCTGATAATTTAAAATTAAATATTAAAATATTCATTTGAATTCCTTGCCAAATAACCATATAATGCGCAACTATTTCGCATTGTGAGTTCAATGCTCATTGTGTTTTGTGGAATGTTTCGATAGGCATTTTGTTGTGGCCCCAGGGCTCAACTCAAGCGGCATTGGAATTTCATTCTTTACCAACGCATTCAAGTGTTAAAATATGTATATGAAATTGATTGGCTGATTAAGCGCACACTTTGCCCAACCCACCCACTCACACAAATAGTCGCTCTTTTTCCCCAGCCTATTATTTATTTCATTTTTTTCTGTACATTGTCTGGCCTTCGTATTTTGCCCTTTTTGATTTGCTTCGGAAATGACGCAAATAACGCAACAAATTTAAGCCAGTCACAAAAATTTACAAAACCCACTCAGACGAGCTCACACACACACAAACGCACTGACAAACTCAAACACAAACATACCTTCAGGACGGGTTATTTATGACAATAGGCATGTGAGAGGCAACAACAGGATGTTTTATATTATTCCATGGCAAAATAAAGGACAACACACACACATCCGCTCACGTAGGTACAATCCCAATTTTGCATAAATTCCATTTAATATATAGAGTATGAAGGGTATAAGTGGGCAACTGAAACTTGAAGAGAAAATATTTTGAACTTCGAAAAGTATTTATATAAAAATATTATAACCTTCGAAAATAAATCACGGAATCTTGATTTTGACTACTTAAAATTGTTTCAATTTAAAACAAATATTTATTCGATATTCCCAAAAGCTTTAACAGTTATAAAGAGCAACAAAAGGGTTACTTTGCGTTTACTAAATTCTTGTTTAACCTTTCGAGTAATTTTTGGAGTGAAATTTAATTGTGCTGCTCATTAATAGCACGCCCAATGGCCGAGAGCTCGCCGGAAATGTGTGATTTCCGGAAATAAATAAATATTTGTTTCGCATTCAAGAGTAATTTGAGCAGACTGAGAAGTCCACAAATAATTACCTAAAGTAAAAAGCATGCAGGATCGTGAAAAAACACATTTTGAGCTTTCCTCCTAAAGAATTTATTTGATTGAATTTAAATTTATTACTGATTATCATTTTGGTATTCGCTTTTTGGGGAGGGTTATTGTCCTTTGTAAGTGCCATTAGGGTATGGGATAACAATAAACAATCATTTGAGCATAAGATCATAAATCTTAGAAAGCCAATAATCCTCCGTAAAAAGAGCAGAAGAAAAAAACATTTCTGAGAAAAGACCGAAAACAACAATCTGCAAATTCCAAAAAATAAGAGGGTACTCCATTTAACTGGAAATTTGCATGAAGTAAATTGAGACACGCAAACAGAAATCATTGGGAATTATCTGTTATTATTTCCGTAATTTCGAAATTTTTTGTTCTGCCAAAGGGATATTCTCCGAAACGACTTCGTACTTATCTCGCAGTCGCACTCATTTTGGCATCAAGCTAATAAACTTAATTCTGTTAAAGCATATGCATATATCCTGTGAAACATGGAGAGGAAAATAGCATGGGACAAGAAAGCCAATCAAAGGAGAAACAATAAACAAGCATGACAATAAATAAATAAATAAATAAATGCCCAGACAAAAGACTTAAAATGAGGAGTCACTGGCCAGGATGTGGAGGCCAAGATCCAGGACCTGAAGCACGATGGCAACTGAAAGGCGAGAACGAGGTCCTCGCTCGCAGGAACGTTTTGTTTGCGTGAAAGGATAATGACGCGTTCGTTTCCCGCTGGATTCTCTTCACTTGCAAATGCAAACGACAATATTGAAAAAGAAGGACATCGACAGGATAAGGCTGCCCGGCACACAGACCTCAGTGGTTCGGGGTTGCGGTGCAGAAATTGATTGAATGGCGTATTAAACTTAAGCCACACAAACACACGCGCTGGCATAAGCAAACATTTATCTTCTCCCCTTTTGGCTCTGTTATTTTCCTTTACCCACTTCAATTTAACGGCTACTTAAGTCCATCATTTTGAATAATGCTGTATACAGAATGGAATTCCAGCTAAAGTCAATTGTGCTGCAGGATTTCGAAAATGTGTGCAAATATTTGATATATTTTTATTTCTTCACATAACAGGTTTAAGGGAATGTGAGATACGTTTGATATATTGTTCAATTATTGTATTTTATGTTAACTGAAATATACATATACATAAAAAATAGCTTGCATATTTATGAAATGTAATTAACTAAATATGTATTTACTTTGAATTAATATACAAATATATATTGCCACAGTTCGTTTATTTGATAAGCCTAATTCACTTCTTTTCACACTTTTCTCCAATCCCTTGGAATCAAGAAAAGCCCCCTCTGTTCGGCTTACCTCCTTCAATTTAACGGCTACTTTAATCCATCATTTCAAATTATTATCTTCTCGCCTGGTGGCAAAGTTGGCAAGTTCCCGTGCACGCTCAGTTGGCCACGCATCAAATGGGCCCTCAATGGGCATTAAAAGGAGCCCAAAGGAGGCGATGTTACCTGAAACATCGGGCTGCTGATGGAGTACAAAACGGGGAGTGGAGCGGACTGAAAGGCCCATTAAAAGGCCACCGCACAAAACTGCTGACATCACGACTGACGGCGCCGATGTTGCCCGGCCACTTGGGCGGCGAATTAAAAAGTTGCCTTGATAATCCTTTTGCAAAATAGACGGGATTAAGTAAAATGCTGAGCAGGAAATTTATGCAGCCCAGATGGGGCATTGGCTGTTGGCCAGGTGTTGACCATCAAGTTGGCCAAGCCGAATGAAAAGTTCGCCGCGAGAGCACTTAAAATGTGCCACAGTGTTGCAATAATTACCGTTAAATGGTCACAGTTAAGAACACTTACGAAGGCAGCGGGGAAATTTCAATCCCGTGCAGCAGGTTGTCTGTTATTATCCTTGCAGCCGTGCAGCTCCACAACGTCCTTGGTGTCCCACTGATGGCGGTGATTTGTAATTTTAAGCGGCGTATGATTAACTTTATGGCTGAGATGGATACCTATAGAAGCGAAAAGACTTAAACCTTTTGTCTTCAAATCAGTATAAGTTCTGGCCACTTGAGACTTAACAACATAAAATTGTGCAAATTAGCTGGCATACTTAGTCAGATATAGAAAAAGAGATAAAGTGAGCTGAGCTCAAAGATGCAGGTCTTATTTTACGATACTTAAATTACAATTTTTTATTTTAGTTTTAAAACAAATAAATCTTTTTTGCTTTAAATCCGTTCCAAAGCTTAAGTTCTTAAAAAAGTTCGGCAGACTTTAAAATAAATAAGTTTGCCAAGGCACCACTGGCATCAGGCGAGAACTAATGACTTGCCATTAAATTGGCTAGCCAAACATTGCATTTAAATTAATGCACACACAATCGGGAAGGGGGTCAGGGTCCTCGAGTGGGGTGAAGGGGGTAATGGCCCCACTGCCTTGGGGCAATTGCAAGCCGAGCGTTAAGCCCAATCCGAGCTCAACCCACTCAAAGTC